AGTCAGTATGGCTTCCTATCTACAGGACACCAGACATTTGTACGAGGTCCTCCTGCTTCATTCTTCAAGGCCATCTTTGACTCAATAAACACAGAAGACACTGAAATTAAACATCCAATGGACATTTTAGGTATTGCTGAAGAATCCAACATTGTGCCAAAAGGATTTACAGAAGATATCTACAAGAGTGAAAACGATGAAATTCTCAGTAAACTGAAAGCAGTGAGTCAGGATGCTATGGTTGACTTTTTCAAAGAAATTGAAGACTATGTGCCTTACGGCTTTACTGTTTACACGCTAGATGACAAGAGACTGCTCTGTCTTCAAAAGTGCAGTCCATACAATGACCGGGACATCCCAGAGCTTTCATTTCTTGTCTTGGAGGAAGGATTGTGTTGTCCTCTCTATAAGTCAGAAGAAGTTCTCATTAAGCCCATTGCAGAATTGATCTCTGAGATGATTCAGTACACCCCATGTGAAAACAATAAAGCAAACAATAAAATCAGCATTCCTGGTTTCTTAAAGAATCTGGTGGAGAAGAAAGTCTCAGTGTGGGTTCAGAATGCCTTTCTGGCAATGTTACTGAAACAAGGACGAGAATATGTCGTAGAAAATGACAACGTCTGTCCAGTGGACTTCAGATCCACTGGTATTGTTGAACTGAATAAGAAATGGGGTGATGGTCTGCAGCAGTTTGTGGAGATTAAACACCAAGTCAAACTGAGCACAATTTCAACAGTGACAAACTACATTTCCAACGTTTCTTTTTTTGAGAAATACCAGGGAAAAATATACGGAACAACAGGAACACTGGGGAGCAAAGCAGACATTCAGTTTTTGCAGGACCTGTATCCAAATCTCTCTGTGTGCAAAATACCAACATTCAACAGGAAGAAGTTATTTGAGGTCAAAGGTACTCTGAAAAAAACTGCTGAAGAATGGAAATCTGAAATAAAACATGTGGTCACAGCTCAGATTTCCCCAAATTCATACAGAGAAGGAAGAGCAGCATTGGTAATCTGTGAAACTATCAACAAAGCCAAAGAGATCTACGAAGAGCTGAAGAGCTGCATCCCAAATAAAAAATTGATTCTCTACTGCCGCAGTGACAGAGACAGTTTGAGTAAAATAGACAAGGAGCTTCATCCTGGTGATGTCATTGTTGCCACAAACCTTGCTGGGTGTGGCACAGACATTAAAGTGTCCTCAAAGGTGAACAATAATGGAGGGTTATTTGTGATCCTCTCCTTCCTTTCTGAGAACACAAGAGTGGAACTCCAGGCTTTTGGACGAACTGCACGCAAAGGTAAACCTGGATCTGCTCAGATAATCATTTCCACCGAACACCTGCAGCCATCTTTTCACCCAGTGTCCTCTCTGGAGGAAGCCAAGAGCACAAGAGACCGACTTGCAGCAGAAAAGATAAGTCACATGATGAATGATGTTGCTGAGATGAAACTGCGGGAGGACCTGTTTTCAGAATACTGTGAAACACTTCAACATATTTATAACACCACTGATGGAGACGAGGAAAGAGCT